GGATAGAGCATCGGCCTGCGGATTCAAGGGTCCCAGGTTCGATTCCGGTCAAGGGCATATACCTTGGTTGCGGGCACATCCCCAGTAGGAGGTGTGCAGGAGGCAGCTGCTCGGTGTTTCTCTCTCATCGATGTTTCTAACTCTCTATCCCTCTCCCTTCCTCTCTGTAAAAAATCAATAAAATATATATTTTTAAAAATAAATAAATAAAAATAAAAAATAAAAGTGCATCATTATCACTGTATTTAATTTGTCCATCAGGATTAACTGATCCATTAGTGTGAAGGCAAATGTCAGAAAAATTAGGGGTAAAGGCTTTAGGCAGCAGTTCTCAACCTGTGGGTCGCGACCCCTTTGGCGGTCGAATGACCCTTTCACAGGGGTCGCCTAAGACCATCCTGCATATCAGATATTTACATTACCATTCAGAATAGTAGCAACATTACAGTTATGAAGTAGCAACGAAAATAATTGTATGGTTGGGTCACAACATGAGGAACTGTATTTAAAGGGCCAGAAGGTTGAGAACCACTGCTTAGAGAAAGGTGGGCCTGGCCATTTCCAACCTCTGTAGTTTTTTAGGTGTAATTCCTTCAGCAAGTTAATTATCATTGAGATCCATTGTCTTATTTTTTAAAATGAGCAAATTAAGCATACTCTCCCCATAAATGTAGTATGTAAATTATATGAATTAACACACTGCTGTTATTATTTGCTATTTCATGAGTTTGACAAATTGCTGACAGACTATGTGTTAAGCACTTTTGAACATACACTATTTCATTTAATCCTCACAATAAAGATAAGCATAATTATTATTCCCATTCTGGAGCTGAAGAAACAGCTAGTTGCTTATTAGGGTTAAAGTTAATTTGCCCAAGGTCACATAGCTAAGAATTCTAGAGCCAGAGCCCAAACCCAAGTCTGTAACTTCATAACCTATGCCCTGATTTTGACATGTACCTAAAACAGCGAGAGGGGATAAAAAAGAGGCAGATAGAGAGGAAAATTGGGGAAAGATTATCCGAACAGAAGTAGACAAAGTAGAAAAAGGATGGGAAAAATTTAAAGATGAAAGAATGATGCAATTGGTGGCTAAGATAGGCATTTGACAAGCAGGACAAATCATTGGTACCAGCTAGGGCTGCCATGGCAATGTGGTCTGCATGTGATAACAGGAACAGCTAGGGCCTATGTGAGAAAGAGTTGATAAATTCAAAGACCATAAAGAAGTCATGTGTGCCTGAGGTGGAAAGAACAAGTGGGAACAGGGGCCTGAGAGAAGGTTGAAGACATGGGCAAACTTTTCCTTTTGGACCATGGTAAGAAATGTGCATATTTTCATCCAAATACAATAGAAAGATATTTGATGGGTTTAAGAACAGCAACAAAATAATCAATTTTATATATTAAAAAATTCTGGCTGCTAAATGTAAAAAGTTAGAAGAGTTGGAAGGCTATCTTAGAAAGTAGTACAGGTGAGAGCCGAAACCGGTTTGGCTCAGTGGATAGAGCGTCGGCCTGCGGACTGAGAGGTCCCAGGTTCGATTCCGGTCGAGGGCATGTACCTGGGTTGCGGGCACATTCCCGGTGGGAGATGTGCAGGAGGCAGCTGATCGATGTTTCTCTCTCATCGATGTTTCTAGCTCTCTATCTCTCTCCCTTCCTCTCTCTAAAAAATCAATAAAATATATTTTAAAAAAAAAAAAAAGAAAGTAGTACAGGTGAGAGGTGATAAGGCTTAGAAAAATGGGAAGGAAACATGATGAACTTTTAGAAAGTACCAGTAGAATCAATAGGACCTGACAATGAACTGGATAGGAGACTAAGAAAACAAACTCAAGAACAATCCTAGGTTTCTTTGGAAAATTGGACAGATACATGCAAAAAAAGGAAACTAGATCACCAACTTTCATCATATACAAGAATAAACTCAAGATGGATAAAAGACTTAAATGTAAGTCGGGAAACCATAAAAATCCTAGAAGAAACCTTAGGCAGCAAAATCTCAGACTTCTCTCATAGCAATATGTTTATTGATACATCTCCTAGGCCAAAGGAAACCAAGGAGAAAATAAACAAATGGGACTACATCAAACTGGAAAGCTTCTGCACTGCAAAATAAACCATCAAGAAAATGAAAAGGGAGCCCACTGTATGGGAGAACATTTTGGCAATGATACATCTGATAAGGGTTTAATTTCCAAAATATATAAGGAACTCATACAACTTAACAAAAGGCAGGCAAACAATCCAATAAAAAAGTGGACAAAGGACCTAAATAGACACTTCTCCAAAGGAGGACACAGATAGCCAAGAGAAAAAATAAAAAGCTTCTGCATAGCAGAAAAAACAATCAACAAAATGAAAAGAGCACAGTGTATGAAAGAACACATTTGGCAATGATACATCTGATAAAGGGTTAATATCCAAAATATATAAGGAACTCATACAACTTAACAAAAGGAAGACAAACAACCCAATTAAAAATGGGCAAATAACCTAAATAGACACTTCTCCAAAATGGACATACAGATGGCCAAGAGACATGAAAAAATGCTTAAAGTCACTGATCATCAGAGAGATGCAAATGAAAATGACAATGAGGTATCACCTCACACCTGTCAGAATGGCTACCATCAACAAAGCAACAAATGACAATTGCTGGCAAGGATGTGGAGAAAAAGGAACCCTCGTGCACTGCTGGTGGGAATGCTGACTGATGCTGCCTCTGTGGAAAACAGTATGGAGTTTCCTCAAAAAATTAAAAATGGAACTCCCATTTGACCCAGTGATCCCACTTCTAGGAATATATCTTAAGAAAGCAGAAACAGCCCTGACCGGTTTGGCTCAGTGGATGGAGAGTCGACCTGTGGACTGCAGGGTCCCCAGGTTCGATTCCAGTCACGGGCATGGTTGAGGGCACATCCCCAGTAGGGAGTGTGCAGGAGGCAGCTGATAGGTGGTTCTCTCTCATCGATGTTTCTAACTCTCTATCCTTCTCCCTTCCTCTCTGTAAAAAATCAATAAAATATATTTTTTTTAAAAAAAAAGCAGAAACACCAATCAGAAAGAATATATGCGCCGCTATGTTCACAGCAGCACAATTTACAATAGCTAAAGATTTGGAAACAGCCCAAGTGCCATCAGCAGATAAGTGGATAAAAAAGCTGTGGCACATCTACACAATGGAATACCACATGGCCATAAAAAAGAAGGAACTCTTATCATTGGCAACTGTATGGAGGGACCTGGAGAGTATTATGCTAAGTGAAATAAGCCAGAGAAAGACAAGTGTCAGATGATCTCACTTATAATGTGGAATCTAATAAACAAAATAAACTGATGAACAAAATAGATCCTGAGTCACGGAAACATGGAACAGACTGACAAATATGAGAGGGAAGGGGGTTGGGAGGGCAGAAAGAGATCAACCAAAGAAATTATATGCATATATGAACCGATTCATAGACAATAGTGAGGTGAAGGCTTCGGGGAGGGGGGCGGGCAGGAGTAGGGTGAAGGGGGGTCAATCAGAGTAAAAAGGAGACATCTGTAATACTTTGAATAATAAAGATAAATTTTTTAAAAAGTAAATGAATATCAATGCCTTTTATCAAGAGGGATATACTAAAGAAAAAGCAGGTATGGGGAATTCAGTAGTTGATCTTTGAGATACCTGTTAGACATAAAGCTATAAAAATTATGCCTAACAATCACTGAAGGCTTATGATGGTTAATTCATTGTCCTAAACATTTTAATTCAAAGAAATATGAACTAGACTACTATATACAATTCAGGAGATTAACATAATAGATTATGAATCAAGAGCCACATTATGAAGTAATCCCAGCCATTTCTACTAAACTTAAAATATATATATACAACTTATAATATATCCAAGACTAGCCCTACTTACCTGTGGAATATAATTTCTTCTCTCTTGACATGCAGCATGAAACCATGCAAAACTGAAGAGAGCATTAGCTCTATGTAGATTACCATTTTTGCTAATTTGCTCAGGAGTCCAAGATTCATAAGTACGCATTAAATTCTTCTTTAAACCTGGAGGTGACTAAAGAAAGGACAATAGACATCATATTATTTAAAAATAAAGTAAAACAAAATAGTATTTAACACATTTGAGAACATATTGTAATGAAAAAAACTTTAGAGCATTACCAACTTGACTTAAATTATTTTATTACTGTGTTATTTCATAATGTACAAATATAAAACTCCTTATACCTAATAGTTCATCTCTAGTATAAATCCAAAATAATTTTTGAAATTAAAAAAACCCTATAAACCAACAATATTCAAAATAACCAATTAAGTTTTATATGATCATTAAGGTATTTGACCGAAATGATTTCCAACATAAAAATACATACAAATAATTCAACTAATTACTTAAAGAATGTCTGCTACAAAGAACAGTCATTCCTTTTGCAATCCTTTTCATTGTTGTTTTTTCTTAAATAAAAATTTTAATTCAAAAGTAAAAGAAAAATACTATTGATTTACTAAGTACATATGCAAATTTTCACTTTTAAAATGAAAATGTTGCCCTGGTTGGTGTAGCTCAGTTGGTTGAGCATTGTCCCATGCACCCAGAGTTTGCCAGTTCAGGACACATGCCCCAGTTGTGGGCTCAGTCCTCAGTGGGGGGTGTGCAGGAGACAGCCAATCGATGTTTCTCTCTCCTTCTTCCCCTCACCCCTCCTCTATCTCTAAAATCAATAAAAACAGATTTAAAATAAATAAATAAATAAATTGAAACTTTCTGTTTATGATACATTTATAAAATATTATCATAGAATAGGCAAAATTTTCTGAGAACTATCCAATAAAACAAGAGATTAGCCTGGCTAGTGTGGTTCAATGGTTGAGTGTCAACCCTTGAAACAAGATGTTACTGGTTCGATTCCTGGTCAGGGCACAAGCCTGGTTTCCAGCGCAATCCCCAGAGGGGGACATGCAGGAGGCAGCCGAATGATGGTGTTTCTCATTGATATTTCTATCTCTCTATCCCTCTCTCTCTAAAAAAAAATCAATAAAACATATTTTTAAAAAATAAATAAATAAAACAAGAGATGAATAGGAAACTGAACAACCACTTAGAGTTTTTAAAGATACTATTCTAAAGATTAGGCAAAATGGATAAGTTATATATGATTTTAAAAAATCATACACAAATACAGACTATTTGAAAAATAACAAAGTGAAAACATTAATATGTCAAATTATGAGTTAAGAACAAGGATATACTCCACTATAATGTCAGAAACTTAAACTAATTTCAATATTAATGCAAGTAAATATAAAGCAATTAACATTCAACATAAGAAATCAGCAAAGGCAAATACAAATCTAAGGAAAACATTAAGAAGGAAAAACAAAGAAAAAAGTAGCAAATTCAATGAACAGAAAAGACAAGTATGACAATGGTTATTTGAAATAAATTTTTAAAAACACAACTAATCAAAAAAGAAAAGAAATGTAACAATTTTTAAAAATTATAATTATGTGTGCATATATATTTCAATAATTTTGAACATAATGCACTATGATATTTCCTAGCATAAAATTATCTACATTGATACAAGAAATAGCAAACTCACAAGTGTTTAAATAAAACAGAAAATTTTTAAGAAAATGTAATGAAATTACCTCCAATATAGGATCTTGGATAAGGCTGCACTTTAAAACATTCAAGGAACATTTTTCCTAATATATTAACTCTTCATTAATTGAAATATTTACTGTGTTCTTCCTACATTCCAGGTATTATATGACAAAAACAAACAAAAAAAGAAAAAAAATAGATCCCACCCTTATGGCTCATGCAACCCAGTTCTAGAATGTAGTTTAGTAGCAGAGTATAAGGGGAGAGTGGCTGGAGAAGATTCTGCTGTATCATACACTAAAAAATGGTTAAAATGATAAATTTCATGTTATATGTCTTTTATTATGATAAAAACAACAAAAAATATAAAGTAAAATTGGAAGAAAAATTTAAATGTATTTTTATAAATGCCATCATATGATATTACATATTTAAGTACTAGAGGCCCGGTGCACGGACTCGTGGGTCCCTCGGCATGGCCTGCGGGGATCGGGCCACCGGCAGTCCAACTGCCCAGGCTCCTGCCTGCTGCTCCTGCTCATCCCAGTCCTGCTGTGCCTGCCACCACGGCTGCTCGCTAGGCTCACTGCCACTTCATTGTGGTCTCCGGCTGTGGTGACCAGCCGTGAGTCCTGCGTCTGGCGCCTGTTGGTCAGCTGAGTGGCACTGCCCCTGTGGAAACACACTGACCACCAGGGGGCAGATCCTGCATTGAGCATCTGCCCCCTGGTGGTCAGTCCACATCATAGCAATCGGTCAAACAGTCAAATGGTTGCTTAGGCTTTTATATATAGAGATATTATACCTCACCTAAATGTAAAGGGAAGTTATACATAACAGACAGTTGTTTACAGAGCTTTGGAAGGCATGTAGAGATTGCTGCACTTAGACAACTAGTGGTCCAAGTTTTAAATCTTACCTCATATGTTATTTTCAAACTTGACTGTAATAAAATAGGAGTAAAGTTGGGGTGAACTTCTGCAGTGAGCCAAAGACGAAAGGTATCTTTTGGTTGAAGAGTATTCAACTCCTTGTTTATAAAACAACAACAATAAAAATCTACTTAAATACATACACAAATTTCCATTTTATAAATATACTATTACTAAGTAATTTTTTTACTAAAATCTTTCTGTGATATCCTGATATATTTCTTCATGTTCTGATTATATTTACTTTAAATATACATCTTCTCTATTATTAGCTTAGATAAGGTAAGAATTTGGACCTGAACCTAGGCCATCAGGCTTGAACTCCAAATTCTGTCACCACTTGTTATGTGACCTTGGGTTCTATAAGTTACACCATCACTAAGCAAGGATACTAGTAGTACCTACCTCATACTATTATGAAAAACACTTAAAACTGTCTGATACCTAGTAAGTACAAAATAAGTATTAGCTATAATTGCTGTACCTAAGTTGATAGTCATCTTTAGGCCTTCAGATTCTCATTGCTTTAGTTCATGCTTCCAGGAAAGTTGTATATTGATTAAAATGTATCAATTAGTGTATCATATTGCATATGATAGAAATTGAAAACTTTACCATACAAATTCATCCGTCCATGCTGCATGCTGTACACTATTCAAATTTTTATGCCTATGTCTACTCATCATATGCTTTCTGCCTGTTATTCTCTTTATAACCTGATGAATTCTTACCCATTTGTCAAAATATAATTTAAACATAATATCTTAGGGGAATATCTTCTTCAACTCTTCACTACAACAATCCTAAGCAGAATTAATGAATTAATTTTACATTCTGTAAATTATCTTCTATAGTATGAATCACACTACATATTAATTACTAATGTGTTCTCTCTCTTCTAAACTAAGTTCTTAGAGAAAAGGTACAAATTTTTATGTAACCAGTACCTAGGACATTTCTTGACTTTTTTCTGTACTCATCAAGTGTTTAAAGAATGAATTAATGAATATTGATAAATACTGATAACTCTAAAAAATATTGATAAATACTGGTAGCTCTAAAAAAGAATGAATTCTAAAATTATTTTAATAAATACATGTGTAATACTAACATTCATTAGTAATGTGAAATTTTAGAATTAAGATGACCAAAAAATGGCAAAAGAAGTGACCATAAAAAATATTGTTCTTGCTTAAAATCCTATGTAATAAAATGTGCCTATACCTAATAATGATTTAAAAATGTAAAGTTTTAAAATGTAAGTTTTATAATGTCAAACTATAAAGCTTTGCCTTGGGTTAGCATGTTTTGTAAAAAAATTAATAGAAACAATGTATTTGTGACATAGTTGGATAAATAAATTTGTAAATTTATATCCAAATAATTCATACAAACTTCCCAAAAGAGAGTAAATTTTTACAATTTTTTAAACTTTTGTAATATAATCTATCCTATATATTTCAAAAATTCTAATTAAGTAATCACTTTAATTATATTTTATATAAATTAACAGTTATCAATATACTCTTTAGAACAGAAAGCAAGATTCTAGTATTCACAAGTCTTCTTTACACATTTTAAAACATCATTCATCAGACATAAAATTTATATTTTTATACATTAGTAATTTTTACAGAATATTGTATTAGTAAAGACTATTTAAATATTGATATAAACAGCAGTTCAAAAATCTATCGTTTTGCTGATTATAAGTGAAGAATCATCATGGGCCATCGATTCATTTACTCAGTCATTAACTCGTTCCTCAAAGATTTATTGATTACCTATTTTGTGTAAGGTGCTACAGCTGCTATCTTATTAGGACTATACACATTTTTTAACACATCACAACTCTGCTAGGGCCTCCCTCAAGCCACTCTATTCTGTTTGATTCTGTTCCAAATAATACTTCTCTCAGATTAATTAAATTAATTAATTATTAATTCCTCTGCTAAGGACCTCCTTTGACTATGTCCAAGGACAAAAGTTCCAAGCTCTTTGCAAGGTTCTCAGGGTATTCCAGAACCTAGCCCTTTCCTAGACATCTAACTCCATTGCCCCACACTGCCCTACCAAGCCCTTCTAGTATCTTCAAGGACATCTTCTTTCCTTGTACTGGGCATGAACATAATAGTCGTCTAGGTTGATCTGGGTTTGCATTTAAAACTACCCAGCAATTTGTTTCATCTTAAGATAATTTTCATGTTGGGGCCACTGAGTTAAGTGAAATGATTATTTCAGATTACATCATGGTTGTCTTAGCAACTAGGTTGTTTGTTCTACAGGTCCCTCTGACTTGTCTACATCTTTTCTCCCCATACAGGCACAACAAAACAAGAGCATAAAGAAAAAGTTATGTTATATATAAATAGATATACAATCCTTTAAAGCACCTCCTTATTTTTCTTCTGAAAAAAATTCTCTAAGTCTCCCTTCAGTCATGATTAATAATTTCCTGGCTTTCCTTAAATGCCTTTAAAAATACATTTTTATTGACTTCCTACTAAAAGATCCATCTTGGTTTGTACACATGTACATATTTTAAAAGAAAATACTTAACAGATTTCAAATTTCTCAAATACTAATTTTTTAAATATCATAAATAATGCATGATATATTTTAATGCTGATGTCCCTTGAATATTACTGAATTGTGTATATTAGATGTACAGGGTATGCCCCCAAAAATGTATACACACTTTAACAGCTGATAAATCAATTTTGAAAATGAAATGTATTTTAATAAACACTGCCTTTGTAATTATTCAAAGTTTGTATATACATTTTTGGGGGGACACCCTATATTATTTGTACATCTATTGAATCTACCTTTTCCAGAACGGGCAGCCAAGATACCACAAGATGTAAGTTTTTCAAACAGAGCCAATCTCCATTCTGAGCACATTCTCTTAGCATTTGAATTGCTAAATCAGCTTGACCTTGACCCATGGCAATCTGCAGAAACAAAACAAAACAAAAACTAAAAAACAAATCTGATAACATGTTGTAACATGCAATCGGGGTTCTCAGTTTTTAATAGAATATATCAGACTCCATAGTTTTCTATTTACTAAAATATATTATTATTATTACAGGTTTGCAAGCTATAAAACAGTATAAAATAATTGAATAATCTTTTGTTCCTTATCCCACCATTTCCTGTAATTCTTACCCTCTCAAAAAAAGACCTTAAAATTTTATTTTTAATATAACTATAGTCTCATCAAATACTTTGAAATTTACTTCTCTGAATTTCTCCAACATTGCATATATTTGACTCTCAACCTACTGGTCTAGCTATTTAACTCTCTCATTCACTGGCTGGCCTTTCATCATCTAGCAAATCCTAACATGTCAGTGAGCCTCAAGACTACACTCAGCCCTCTGCTCCTCTATTGTTTCTCAGAGAGAGGAGGTAGGAGGAGAGAGGAAATGAGAAAAGAGGAGGGGAGAAATTAAAGGAAGAAGAGGGTATGAGAATCCTGACCTCACCGGAATTCCATTCCAATTTTTCCAATCCCTTTAGTCCATCTGCACTTAGAACATTCATGTAGTAGAAGAGGCCACCTTATACAATAGAAAACTTCATAGCATTAAAAGTATTCGAGCAGAAGCGGTTTGACTCCAGATTGCATTCAGCACTTAAGATTTCTCTATTATTAAAAGGCTTGGACAAGGTGACTACTTTAGTCTAAGGTTCTTTAAAATGTAGTCAAGAATCTAATATGGCTACATGCCTCTTACCATATCAAGTCTAAAATACTCCATGTTTTTTAAGGACAATTAATATAATACTTGTATATTAATATAGCTATATCTGTGTATATATGTATATACTTTATAAGTATACATATATTGGGAATCCTGGCTCTAATACTTTAATAGGTACATAGTCAAAACATTTATATGAATGGCAAACTATTTTTGAGAGAGGAGGAAGGAGGGAGAAAGAGAAAATTTTGTTTTTCAATTAGACTATAAAGTCTTTGAGAGTGGGAACAATGTCTAATTCATTGCAAACTAAAGCATACAATAAAACAGGTAATAAATACTCATATTTATTTTTTAAAAATATTTTTATTGGTTTCAGAGAGGAAGGGAAAGAGAGCTAGAAACATCAATGATGAGAGAGAATCATTGACTGGCTGCCTCCTGCACGCCTCCCAATGAGGACCAAGGCAGCAACTTGGGCATATGCCTTGACTGGGAATCAAACCGTGACCTCCTCGTTCATAGATCTATGGCTCAACAACTGAGCCACAACCAATCGGGATTCTTTTTTTTTAATTTCTTTTTTTATTTTCAAGGTCTACTAGTAACCTGGAACAAAGCAAATAGGAGGGATGAAACAAATACTGGTTGAATTGTTTCAATGCACATACTAGTTTGCCATTTATTTAGTTTTTTGTTTTTATTAATTCTCACCCCAGGATATTTTTTTCCATTGATTTTTAGAAATAGTGGAAAGGAGGGATGGAGAAGAGAGCGAGGAAGAGAGAGAGAGTGAGAGAGAGAGAGGGAGAGAGAGAAACACTGATGTGAGAGAGATACATCGATCGTTTGCTTCCTACACATGCCCTTTACCGGGAATCAAACCCAGACCCTTCAGTCCACGGGCCAGTGCTCTATCCACTGAGCCAAATCAATGGTGGTTAGTTTGCCATTTTAAATGAAATGAAGGAATGTACAACATAATTAGAGTAAAAGGACATTTTGCTGAACTGAAATGGTAACTCAAAATAGAAAATTCAAAAGTTTCCATAAGTCATAAGTTCTGTGAAAACACCTTAAAGGTTCATGAATCCTTAGGAGATATTATAAGAAAAAAAGTTTTAAAGCACAGCCAGGAAAATGAAAAGCACACCAAAAGAGACAAACACACCAGTTTCTTAAGTAAAAAATTAATTTGCACTAATATGTTATTAGACTTAACATATATATTCAGCATAGTAACAAAATTTTTAAATAACAGAAGTATAAATAAGTATGTACATATTTAAAGGTTCTCCTACATTAAACAATTTTGCAAGCTCAGAACACAAAACTCAAGAAGTTTAAATACTCAAACCTACTGTGAATGCAAATAGTTTTATCTTTCTACTAACAATGCAACCTATAGAAACAGGCTCCCCTTCCTCAAGACACCTTATTGATAACTGAATACTAGTCTAATAAGTATGTTAACATAACGAGGACTAAATAAAATTTTCTAAAAGTTAGACTGTGCAAAATCTGCACAACTGAGCCTAGCTGATATTTTGCTATCATCTATTTATGTTCCTCATAACACTCTTTTCATTTTTGGTTGCTGTGAAATATTTGCTTCTTAAATCATTATTATTTTCCCAATGAAAAAGGTTTATTTATTCATTTGTCAAAAATTGAGGGTAAGTTGATTTTCAAACTTGCATGCAAACTGAATGAAAAAAGTAGGCAATCTGAACAAATTAAATCTTCTAAATATACCTCAGGGGGAAAAATGATATTATATTAGATAATTTATTTTAAATTTATGTACTTCTTTTATTTCAGTTTTTGTAGGTAAATATTGTTGTGATTTGTTGTAATAGTATCCTAGTAAAATTTTAAAAATTATTCAAATGTAGTCAAATATATTAGTTCCAATTACTGTTATAACAAATTACTACAATTTAAAGCCTTTAAACGAAACAAATTTATTATCTTACCAGACTTCTGAAGGTCAAAAGTCCCACTGGTCTAAAATCAAAGTGTTTGGTTTGAAAATAAAATTAGTATTAAAAGGGCTGTTCTCTTTCCAGAGCTTCTAGGAGAGAATCTTCCCTGCCTTTTCCAGCTTCTACAAGACCTAGATGTGTTTGCTCTTGGCCCTCTCCTCCACCTTCACAGCAGCAGCATAAAAGGGCATTTCTCTGACCTTTGCTTCTATCATCACATCTCTGACCTTCACTTGACCTCTTCTGCTTCCCTCTTATAAGAACCCTTGTGATTATATTGGGCCCACCTGGATGACCCAGGATAACCTCTCCAAAATAATTACATCTGCAAAATTCCTATCACCATGTAAGGCAACAAATCAGGAAGTGGACACGCTGGGGAAACTTTATTTGGTTTACTAAAACAAAACACGTCTGTTTCACTAATAGGACTAAGTATGTGTAAAATCAGCAGGGAAATGCACTCACCTGGTGATAACACTCTCCACTTCTTTCAGCATTAGCAAGTTCTTGAAGTTCCTGAGAAGGATCAGCACCGGGAGAAATAATGATCAAGATGGGTTCAATTTCTAGTGTCTCCTTGTACAAACGTTTGAGATTGAGAGGAAGTGGGGACAACTCTTTCAGACCTAAAAGACATATTAAAGAACTTTAGAAATAAAATGGTCTGAGAACTAACTATTAAAACTAATTACATAATATATAACAGAGAGTAATTACATGAATTATAATCCCGTACATATTGAAGTTTTCACCCTCTAAAATCATTCACACACTAGTAATAACTAAGATTAATTGAATACTTAAAGTGCCAGGCATTTTACTAAATGCTTTAGATCCTTATCATCTAATCTTTACTACACTACAAGGTATCTTGGTGACCACATTTAACAGATGAAGCAGCACAGAATCAGCATTGTGGTCTTACTATACATTTTTCTCCCTACAGGAGATGACCTAGCCAGCCATCCACACAGCTTTCCCTTCCTGTATGTGATAACAGAGCACCTACTCTGTGCAATGCATATGGGGAATCAGATTTCTACATGGTCTGGTAAACAAGTTCACTGTTATGATATAGGATAAAGTTACTTCTTATGTGCATGCATTAAGAGAAGAAAAAGTGGTATAGAATAAAAAGAATGTCTAGTTTGCCCGACCAGCATGGCTCAGCATTGACCTATGAACCAGGTGGTCAAGGTTTGATTCCCAGTCAGGGCATATGCTCAGGTTTAGGGCTCTATCTGTGCAGGAGCCAACCCATCAATGGTTCTTATCATTGATGTTTCTATCTCCCCCTCTCCCTTCCTCCCTGATATCAATAAAAATATGTGTTTTTTTTTAAAAAAAGAATGACTAGTTTAGAGATAGAAATATATAGCTCTCAGTGTACGTTCGCTAGCCGAGTGCAAATCACTAAAACATACAGTCTTGGTTTTCTTAACTGTACTTGTGGCAATGTAATAAGAGGTATTTTCATTCATTCAAACATTCATTTATATAGGCACAAACTCAATACACATTCGAGACCAATTAAATGCACTGCCTGATAAAATATATCAAAGTCTTATAACTGTGCCTGGCCTTTGATTAATTTAAATGACAATAACCAATGTAATAAATAATTTAGGATATGAATGCAGAAGCATGTACAAGGACTTTCATTTTGGCTGCTGATATTAGTTAAAAACTGGGGGAAAGACATAAAGGAGTCTGAGTAATTTTTGGTAGCCTTATAATGCAATTCAAGTTACAAAAATGGAGATTTACTGAAAAGGAGATTACTCAACAGAGCAGACAACATGATTCCATATTGGAATGTATACACATCTATGGGCCTAAAAAGAATAGAAAGATATATGCAAAAATATTAACCATGATTATCTCAACTGATGGAATAACAGATCTGTATCTTTTGTTCTTCTATATCTTCTCATAGACCTCTAATTAGATGTATTGTGTGATAAAAATGTCAAAATATATATAAATATATTTCCTATAAAATAACTATGAACTAAAATGTGTTTTATTTGGAAAATATATGCCAATATATTTAAAATTTTAAATGTGGATTACCATATCATTTCTTAATTTAACAAATGTAAAATGTAAACTCTATAAGGCAGGAATCATATCTATTTTGTTCATCATTTTCTATCCAGAGCCTACTATAAATTCAATTATTACTTCTCTAGTCAAAATCCCAGAGAAGATAAATACAGGAGCAAAAGTATGTTTACAGTTGTTCATATGTAAAATAATACAATAATAAATAAATAACAATACAAGAATAAACTCTGTCTCACGTTCTCACAATGGAATTTGCCCCACCCTGTATATGTTCAGTTCATTTTATACAACATTTGAAAGTACTGAAACACTTGGGATTAGAGAAAAAAATCATGAAAAATATCACACCATTTAAGATAACACAGGTGATACATTCATGTTACTTGGAATTCTCTGTTAGCCATTTGTCCCACAAAACTCCAACAAAATCTCCATTGCATTTTAAGTGAACTGATTCTGTATATAATTAACAAAATCGTTGGTTTTATTAACTCAAGTAATTTTGACTCATGATACCATTATAATTGCAGTGTGAATCATTCAAAACTATTTAATAAAATTAAAGAGCCCCAAATCTTCATTGCACTGTGAATTATCATGGTATAGAACTACTTGTAAATTACTGATATTAATCTGACCATTCCTCTGTAAAATATATCACTTATTTTGAAAGAAAAATAAAGAACTAAAAATAGTTAAAGAAATAATGTAAACCTTTAACATATCTTACTTAGGTAAAATATTGAGATAGTAAAAAAGAAATAATTTGCAGTTTAAAAAGAAGAGACTATAACTCCTGCACTTTTCAAGTGCCTAAGTAAGTAGAACATTAATATAAAACTATTACAGGTAGTAGGTATGAGATTCATGCTTCCTCATTCATCTCATCTTCCCTAACAAAGAGACTAACAAGCATCAGATGTACAAAATTACTCTTCCTTTATTGGAGAGAAAAGACAACTCTAAAAATGTACCACTAACATCAATAAAAAGAAAGACAATCAGCAATCAATATCTAACTGAATATGTATTAACCAAGTGGGAAAATACTCTTTAAAAAAGGAATAATACTCAAGCCTAAAAAACAAACAAACCAACCAACAAACAAAAAACATTTGTGGTAGGCAGAATTCTAAAGATATCCCTTTCAAGATTCCTATCCCTTGGTTGTTCAATCAAACACTAATCTAGGTACTGCTGTGAAGGGACATTGCAGATGTAAGTGGACCAATTTAATCACTTGGGATCTTAAAAACAGAAAATATTTCCTCCAGCTAAAGTCAAAGTGATGAAGCAGAAGAAAGAAGCAGGAAAGGTGAGCCAGACGAAGAGATCAGAGATGTGAAGCATGAGAAGAAATCAATCTGCCAAGTCTGGCTTTAAAGATGGTGGAAGAGGATGACAGACAAAAGAATGCGACTGTCCTCAAATGACAGAAGTGGAAATGGGAACCTCAATCCTACAACTGCATGCTGCTGAATTCTGAGAGGAACCTGAATGAGTTTGGAAATGGATTCTTCCCAGAGCCTCCCAATAGCCAATCCTGGATTTAGCCTTGGGTGACTTGGAGCAAAGGCACCAGGTGAGCCCACCAGCCTTCTGACCTACAGAACTATGAGATAATAAACAGGTGTTGTTTTAAGCTAATTTATGATCATTTATTACAGATGCCATAGAAAATGAATGTCCTTCCTTTCCTCTTATACACAGACCTCACGAGACAGATTGAGCTATGGAAAAAGGGTACCTGGGACTGGGATGGGTTGCAAGCATGATTAAGAGATTGTAAAACTAGGAAAATTGCAAGTCTCAAAAAGGCTTTTTGGAGAACTGTTGAGAAGTTTCTGATTCCTAAAAATACTGCAGCACCTTCCAAGAACATGTCTTGTAATACTTAAATACACAAAGCATAATATTTTGCTCAGAAGAGTTAATAAAAAATCAAAATTAAATCAGAATTTAAAAAGGCATAATCATTGCATTTGGTAACAACTATTTTCAAAAAAGTAATGTTGCAGATTTGGCTAGCACATAAGGCTTGATTTATAGGAGTAAAGTGGCATGCCTAAAAGATTTGAGGAATGCTCTAATAACTTAAATCTGTAAATCAAAACTACTTTCATTAACATATTTTTAAAATAACGATTTTAAAATTTATAGATTATAAAAAAGGATTGCTAAAACTTAATAAAAATCTTTCCATGTGAGTGATTTTCTTTTTTCTTTATTGATTAAAGTATTACATATGTGTCCTTATCCCCCTATTCCGCCCCCCCTACTCCCCCCCACTCATGCCCTCACCCCCCTGGTGTCTGTGTCCATTGGTTGGGCTCATATGCATGCATACAAGTCCTTTGGTTGATCTCTCCTCCTTACCTGCACCCTCCCCTACCTTCCCTCTAAGGTTTGACAGTCTGATCGATGCTTCTCTGTCTCTGTTTTTGTTCATCAGTTTATGTTGTTCATTATATTCTACAAATGAGTATATCATGTGATATTTATCTTTCTCTGACTGGCTTATTTCACTTAGCATAATGCTCTCCAGTTCCATCCATGCTGTTAGCAAATGGTAAGAATTCCTTCTTTTTTCAGCAGCACAGTATTCCATTGTGTAGATGTACCACAGTTTTCTAATCCACTCATCTGCTGATGAGCACTTAGGCTGTTTCCAAATCTTAGCTATGGTGAATTGTGCTGCTATGAACATAGGGGGACATATATCCTTTCTGATTGGTGTTTCTAGTTTCTTGAGATATATTCCTAGAAGTGGGATCACTGGGTCAAATGGAAGTTCTATTTTTAGTTTTTTGAGGAAACTCCATACTGTTCTCCACAGTGGCTGCACCAGTCTGCATTCCCACCAGCAGTGCACTAGGGTTCCTTTTTCTCCACATCCTCCCAAGTACTTGTCATTTGTTGCTCTGTTGATGATAGCCATTCTGACAGGTGTGAGATGGTACAGCATTGTCGTTTTGATTTGCATCTCTCGGATGATTAGTAACTTTGAGCATGTTTTCATATGTCTCTTGGCCTTATGTCCTTTTTCAAAAGGTATGTATTTAGGTCTGTTGCTCATTCTTTGATTGAGTTGTTTATCTTCCTTTTGTTAAGTTTTATGAGCTCCCTGTAAATGTTGGAGATTAAACCCTTATAAGTGATAACATTGGCAAATATGTTCTCCCATTCAGTGGGCTTTCTTGTTGTTTTGTTGATGGTTTCTTTTGCTGTGCAGAAGCTTTTTATTTTGATGTAGTCCCATTTGTTTATTTTCTCTTTAGTTTCCATTGCCCTAGGAGTTATATCGGTGATGATACTGCTACGACATATGTCTGAGATTTTGCTGTCTGTGGATTCCTCTAAGATTTTTACGGTTTCCAGTGTTACGTTTAAGTCCTCTATCCATTTTGAGTTTATTTTTGTGTGTGGTATAAGTTGGTGGTCTAGTTTCATTTTTTTGCATGTATCTGTCCAATTTTCCCAACACCATTTATTGAAGAGGCTGTCTTGACTCCATTGTATGTTCTTGCCTCCTTTGTCAAATATTAATTGAGCTGGTCTA